GAAAAACTAATTGTTTAAAGCAATCGGTTTCTTGCGCCTAAATCCAAACTAAGTCTAGCATATGTTGTTGGCTTAAACTTGTTGTGATACATACAAACACAATTTTGACCCTCCCTAATCACCAATCTAAGACTAGATTAGCACCGAACTAATCTTTCGTTTTGGGAAAGGAAACTAATCTTTCGTTTTCTGTAACAATCATGTTTGCATCGCATGTTGCGGGTGAAGCATCCGTGTTCGTTAAGAGAAAAATAAATCTATATATATTTTCCATTTGCAATTTTAAAGGGAATAAAAGAAGACGGGTCAAAAACTCAAAATGATATAAGAAGCTTTCTGTTTGAGAAAAGTAAAGGCTAAGGAATCTCATAAAGACACACACACACAAATATATTTATACGCGGCACCAACCAATACCAATCCATTTTATTTACACCATCTTCCATATATATGTAAATGTTATATATAATTTATTTTCTTGGCGGATCGATTTTGTATACTTTATTACGATTCCATTTGGCTTTAGTTGTTAGTTTAATATATTTGAACCCTTTTGCTTTGAACCAAAGCCAAAGGAACCAAACCCAAAACCTTTTGTAATTTTTGTTTATGTGAGTCCTATCAGACACAACTCGGATAATATATACATTTCCCTTTTTATTTCTATAATGATTTTGCTTCAAGTTCATCACGTGCGTAGTGATGTGTCTGATGCACACGTGCGTCCTATAACATCCTTGGCATTTTCGTTTCTTTTTAAAAAACTTATATATTTACACTTGAGCTAGCTTGGATGAAGGTACAACATGATTGATTTTGCTCTCCCGTAACTCTTGCAGGTGATTTATACTTATCTATAAAACAGCCATCGATATGAAAGGTCTAATTATACAATGCCGGTCCAAAGTTTCCGGATGTAATGTGTAAAACTACAAAACCGTGCCCTTTTTTATGGTATTTTGCTGATCTTTTCTTTTCACAAAATTGACGTCTAAACATGCGAGCTTCACTTGTCTATGCTTTAGACCGGTCTTGTACATATACTACATTTCGTATAATGACAAAAATTTTGGAGTTAAAATCGTTCCGTAAAACACCATTTACAAAATATGTTTCGGTGTAAAATGTATTAAGACAAAAAACTGACAAAAGGGACCAAGTGTGATCGTACAAAACTATTAATTGGGCTATAGTTGAGAAGTCAAAGGCCCATTTAGAGTCAAKCCCTTTTACGTCACCTTCTTTTCAACTTCTAGTCAAATGAAATTTGACTTGACACAAAATCTCACTTTTTCTCTTCTCTGATTTGCATTAAACTTGAGAAGGGGCAAATCGGTTGACTCAGACCTCGCAGCGACTGGGGAATTTTG